TTTTTTTGTTTTTTTATTCAAAAGTTAAAGAGCTGAAAGCAAATTTTTCTATTATAAGCATTTATTTATTAAAAATTATATATCTTTATACATTTTTATTTGACAAAAATTATCTTTGTCATTGCAAGAAAAGATTACGCACGATTAAGCAGTCTGCTCGTTTGTCTCGTTGTCCTTATTTTTTCATTTCTCCATTGTGAATTAAAAGAAACCTTTTTCGGGCGGGACTTTCATACGCGTGCGTGAATATGTCATCGAACACGTGATCGACTTTGATAGACTCGTGCCAAGCAAAAAATTTTTTGTCCCTGTATAAGCTATTATTTTCTGTGCAACATGTTAAAAGGGTTTATAACAAATTAATTTGTTTAACATTGTTAATCAATGAAAAGTTAACATGCAATAATAAGTATCTGAGATCAAGCTACAACTTTCAATATTTATTCGCGTACAAACCAGATACCAAATGGAGAAATATTAAAAAAATGACTTAAAGACAATTTTTTTCCATATCACAAATAATTCTCGCTTTGCTGTTCTTTTTATTAAACATTAACGATCAAAATTCTATTACAGAAAATATTCATTAAACTTGTATGTACGACGATGATTCACAAAATCAATTATATACTCCCATTTCTTTCTTAAAATACATACTTTTGATATTTAACTATATTTCTATATCTGATTATAACTATTAACTAATAATTTACTTACGTTTAACTATATTTATATTTAATTTCCTATTACCTCCTCACAAGTCCTTATGACATCTTCATTCCAACAAAACATATACGCGATTGAGACGTAACAGCGCCACGCGTCACTGCGCATGCGCCAGACTTGCTCCTCCATTTGCAGCACTGCTCCGGTGTTCCGGTTACAGCTCAGCGTTGGATAAGCGATCGTCATCAACCGTTATCGGAGGAACCGTTGGTATTGAGGAGATCAGTCGTTTCGATTTGGACCTCGCCAGATCGCCAAGATGACTGCCATACCCGGGACGGTAGCGTTCGACGAGTATGGCCGGCCCTTCATCATAATACGTAACCAGGAGAAGCAGCAACGCCTTACCGGTCACGACGCTATCAAGGTGAGATGGCGACGGCATACTTCGAAGTCGTGCGCTCGACTCCTATTTCTGACATCGTTTCGTAAGAGACGCTTTTTTTCGCGGACAATGCAGATGTGTTAATGCCTGGTCGAGACATTTCTCGAAAATTTTGCGTTTCCTTGAAACTAGAACTCCTGGAAGACCACGTGCGAACGATAATGGCGGCGTTTCATGGTCGACGATGAATGAGATGAGATATATTTAGGCTTCGAATTTTATAGAAGCGATATTCTCCTTTCTTCTCGCATCTGAATGTATTATTTAAGTACAGCCACGGAAAATTAGAATTAATATATATATATATTTTTCTTTCTATGTAAATAATTTCCCTTCGAAAAGAATCGGAAATTTTCTATAACCATATAAGGCAATCCATTGCTTTTGTCCATGTCCATTTCTGCAATGTAGATTAGCTATCTCGTTTTAATTTACTCTTTACCTTTTTCTAGTTTGTAGAATTAGAAAAAAAGATAAAAGTAAGTTAAATTGAGATTGAAGTTAATTCACATTGCTGATGAAATGGATATTTATTAATTTTTTTACTGCAATTAGTTTAATCGCTCCAAAAGCGATTAATGATGTCACTAGATTGCTTAATACTTCAAAAAATTGTTCCATTAAAGTTTCATAGTAATAATTTAATATTTTACATTTTTTTTTTATATTTAATTAAGTGCATTTATGGCTCATCCATCCACTTTGATCACGGTTGCCTTCTTTAGTTTTTTCGGATAAATTTTAAGTGTTCTGGCAAACAGAAATAATATTCGCTTAATCACTTCAAATTTTAATAACAATTTTTGTTTTTTTTTAATTTGTAAAAGAAATTTTGTAAAGAAATTTGTAAAAGAAATTTTTGACAATATATTTTATATTTTCATGATAGAGTATATTAACAAGATATGAGATAAAAAAATTTTATTGAATAGAAAAACAAATGTATAGTAAGAAGTCTAAATGTGGGAAATATTTTGATTATAGTCGCATATTCTGGCAGCACGCAATGTGGCTAACATCCTTAGAACATCCTTGGGGCCTAAAGGATTGGATAAGTTAATGGTTAGCTCTGATGGAGATATTACTGTTACTAATGACGGTGCAACAATCTTGAAGAATATGGACGTAGATCATGAAATTGCCAAGCTGATGGTCCAACTGTCCAATTCTCAAGATGATGAGATTGGTGATGGTACCACTGGAGTAGTTGTATTGGCCGGTGCACTTCTGGAACAAGCCGAACAGCTATTGGACAAGGGAATTCATCCGATCAGAATCGCCGACGGTTTTGAATTAGCAGCCAAATGTTCTACCGAGCATTTGAAGACGATAACGGACGACTTTAAGGGAACCCCAGAAAATTTGGAACCTTACATCGACATAGCTATGACTTCATTAGGTTCAAAAATGTAACAAAATATTTATTATTTTTAGACTACATTTACAATATCTTTTTTTTACTTACTTTTTTATTTATTTATTACAGTATTAACAAGCATCACAGACAAATGGCAGAAATAGCAGTACAAGCTGTATTAGCAGTCATGGATCCTGTCACTCGCGATGTTAATTTCGAGTTAATCAAGATTGAAGGAAAGGTCGGTGGTAGACTCGAAGATACCGTTTTGGTACGTGGCGTCGTCGTCGATAAAGACTTCAGTCATCCACAAATGCCGAAGGTAGAAATTCGAAAAGCAATAAATTTTTGTTTTATGATAAATAAGTTACATATTATTTTAATATTTATGTAATGTTACAGAGGTTAGAAAACGTCAAACTAGCCATCTTAACTTGTCCGTTCGAACCGCCAAAACCTAAAACAAAACATAAGTTGGACGTTACATCTGTTGACGATTATAGAGCTTTGCGCGATTATGAGCGCGAAAAGTTCACGGAAATGGTGAAGCAGGTCAAAGATGCCGGTACGACATTGGCTATTTGTCAATGGGGCTTTGATGACGAAGCTAACCATCTCTTGCTGCAGAATAATTTGCCCGCGGTTAGATGGGTTGGCGGCCCAGAGATCGAAGTGAGTGATATCTTCATAATTTAAATTTATAATTTTTTATAGCAATTGTTGCTTGCTATAATGATGAAAAAAAGCGCCAGAGGACGTGCGACAGTTTAGAGAATTGGTTTATCTTAATTTTGGAAGCATTAGTCTCGTAAGTTAATATTCTATTGACTTTCGAGAAAAATAAACTTTCAAAATTGGATAGCCAGTGATCTGGCTTTCGTGGTGGCTCCAATGATCCAAAGATTATGAGATCTGAAATAATAGTAATTTTTTGTATCATATTATGCATTTTATGTCTAAGATATGTATGAAGAAATTTTTTATTTAGCTCATCGCTATTGCGACCGGTGGACGCATTGTACCTCGCTTCGAAGAACTAACGCCAGAGAAACTTGGTCATGCTGGTGTCGTCAGAGAGTTAACGTTTGGCACAACAAAGGATCGAATGCTAGTCATTGAAGAATGCAAGAATTCCCGCGCTGTAACAATCTTTATTCGCGGTGGCAACAAAATGGTATGCAACAACAAAATTATTTCTATGCAAGGAGAATTTCAGTAGTACTTTTGTATTGTACATAACTGACCAGACACCTTGCAATAGCAATGCATTGCAATTATACAAACTATTCAATACTCTCTGCTAGACTTATAATGGAGATGTATTTGCGATGCAACACTTATTTACATTATTTAGGTAGTTTTAAAAATTTCTAATCGAATGCGTGTCGCTTTTATGTTCATAGATCATCGAAGAGGCAAAACGATCGATACACGATGCATTGTGCACCGTACGCAACGTAGTAAAAGACAGCAGGATTCTTTACGGCGGAGGTGCGGCGGAAATATCTTGCGCGCTGGCGTGCATGGCACAGGCTGATAAAATCAGCACTCTGGAACAATATGCCTTCCGTGCCTTCGCTGAAGCTTTGGAAAGTGTTCCAATGGCACTCGCAGAAAATTCTGGCCTCTCACCAGTAGATACTATCGCGGAAATTAAAGCGCGTCAATTAGCCGAGAAAAATCCAGCTCTCGGTATCGATTGTTTAAATCGAGGCACAGCGAGTACGTATCGATCTTGATATATGTGTACTATCTTGCAGATTATGAAATTATTACACAAATCGTATGTTGCAGATATGAAGAGACAAAATGTCATCGAGACGCTAACGAGCAAAACACAACAAATTTTGTTGGCTACGCAGCTGGTTAAGATGATTCTTAAAATTGACGATATACGGTCGCCTAATGAAACCTAAAGATTAAGTTTATTTATAATTATTATGTGTTTTATTATCAAATATACTTTATACTAATTGATATTGTTTCATGCTGCATTTATTTTTACAATTGTCTCATCGCAATTTCTGTTTAAATTGAAAATTGTTTTGTATCATCTTGCTATCCACTCATAATTTAAACAATGTATTATTGTAATACAATATCATCTCACAGCATGACAATTATTAAATGATACCTGATTTACAGGCATTTGTGCTTTCTCCTTTATTTCCTGAATCTAATTTTTCGAGGATATTTAAAATTTGTTGTAACATATGAAGAATACAATTAACTGCATTGCATTTAATTAATAATGTGACTTCAGTTTTTACGAAAGAAGCAAATTGGATAAAAATTGGTTAATTTATTTTAGTCTTCAATCAAAATATCAAGATTTATATTGCTTATAAGCTCATACTTAATTGTGGGTATTCATTTCATCACAGTGAGATAGTATTTTTTGTTAAAATTTTTTCTTATACATACATATGAGGTGAGAGGACCGGGAATCGAACCCGGATTTTCAGCGAATTGAACAAGCGATTGCTTTAACACTGAGCTATCCAACACCTCGACTTTATTTTGACTGTAGGAACAAATAAATATGTCACATCGAGCCAAGGTTAGTTGTGTAAATATATTCCGTTTATATGACATTTCGAGGGATATCTTTTTCTTTTCAGCTATCATCTTGTGGAATGAGTTTGTGATGTGTGAAACCAACGGCAGACCGAACGAAATAACAAACGGATTGTTACGATCTACTTATAAAATGGCACAAAATACAATTGCATATATGTATAATACATATATATATATATATATATATATATATATATATATATATAAATTAGAATATAACAACAATTATATACTCCGGTTTCTTTCGGTCGCCTTCGTATTTTTCTTTTCATTCATATATCAGTCCGATATTGGACCCAATTTTATAATAACTCTCTTCTTTTTCTCTCGTATCACAAAATATACAATCTATTCCAACATAATATATCATATATCTTCTCTCTCTCTTGCACTTTTTTTACACATTAATTACATCTTCAACAAGTTTTCAACTTTATCAAGTGTACGAAATTCTCACAAGGATCGAGTACAAAAAAAAACATTTTATTGTACAGATGAAAACTGGATATTGTACATACAATTATTATCCTCCATTATTCTCATATATTAAATTATTATTTTTTTAATACTATGGAAATTTTATTCGTGCTATGTACATAATTCCCGAATTTAATTGATTTATATTTTCAGAAATTTCCAATTTCTATTTGGAAGAAATCTGAGTACGAGATAAACATTTCGTTGTACTTTAAGGAACGACAAATTCACATAGGACTTATGTCTTTGAATCTATATTTATTTGTTACAAAATGCAAATAAAATTGATTAATAAAAAAGTTTCAAGTTCTTGTAGGAATTTCGTACTCGTGCTTTACACTTCAACGCACAACGCTGTACAATGTAACAGTAACGAAAAAATATCGTTCTTTTTCACTTATCGAGACTCGATCGTCTATCTACGTAACAGAATTGACCTCGAACGCGAAAATGCGATTCGGAACGTTGATGACATATCGTAAAATCTAGAAATTACCCGAGTAAAAAAGAAACATATAAAACATGGTATCGATGAGTTGGTTCTCGATGCGTCTACGTCTAAACGTAGCCCGGATTATCGGTATCGCTATAATTTCCGTACGAACAAGTGGACTAAGCGAGCTTCAGTTATTCGCATATAACGTTTTCAACTAAGGACACACAGTACGATAGAGCGGGGATCTTGACCAGGATCGTGACTGGTTTGCGTTACACCTTCTTGAGCATAGGTAAATGAAGCACCTCGGGTACCTCGATATCTTCGAGTCGAATGTCCGATGGATTAAATGAGAATCTTACGGGATAGGAATACTTTAAATCCATTAACAGCTAAAAGTGAAAAATCACATGTTACCAAACAAAATTCTTTTTCAAGAATGCGACAAACGTATGTCATTATCGCTCGTGAGGCGAAACTTACTTGTTCGTTGTTCTCGCCGCGTTCCTTCAGTTTGTCCTGTACCTTTTTGATAAATGAGAAAGGAACTCGGCTCTCATAGTCGTCGACAGGCGTATACAAATTTAGAATTTTCACTATTTGATTAGCCGTCAGTTTATTGCACATCTCGCAGACGGAATTAACGTCTTCGTCCGTCTTGCGAGCCTGCAGAAGCTGCGATGCCTGTATGATAGGTTGTAATGCTTCCGACGCGGCTTCTAATCGTCGATCTCTGCCCCACTGCTCCAAATGGCTCATGTTATACCTTAAACAATAAACAAGGCATTCATATAATTTCTATATTATTATAACCGAATAGAAAATGGATAAAGTCAGTCATAAAGTCAGTCCTGATGTGGAAGACTAAGAATTAATGAAGAAATTTAAGAAATTTCTTTTAATTTTTTACAAAGCAATTATCCGTACAGAATTTCTCATCGTATTGCTAATAAAGCTAAGAGCGAGATCGAAATATATAAGAGGTAGAATCAAGTTCTCGATTTGTCTTACCTTATCTGCATACCCTTCGTCCATCGACACAATTCGCTCCTCAGCAACAGGTTGTTCAGGGCACTGGCGCACATGAAATAAAACAATTGCTTAAACAGCTGCATGATGACCTCGGGATCCACGCCGTGATACTGCAGCGTCTTGTGCACCGAGGTCAACTCGCCCAGAAGCTTGTCCAATTTTTGCTGCGTGGAATCCGGCTCCCCGCCCATGGACGACGACCTGGGTCGCCCGGTCTTGTCGGTCGGAACGGATATCGCCTCGTGTTCCAGCAAGGCTGGCACCGTTAGCGCTTGAATCCTCTCCTTGAGATTCGTAATGAGATTGTTGAAGATCCAGAGGGCCACGTTGCTCAGCACGACACGGTACTCGCTCAGGTCGAAGTTTCTCAGACACTGTTCGTTCTGCCTAGGTGTGTTCTCGATCTGGAATGGCTTGTCACCGGAGTATTGCTTCATGTTGTGTAACAAACGCAGGGTGTTGCTTAGCCAAAGCACCCTCGAGTCGAAGTCATCTCGTTTCTTCAGCACACGTTTAACGGCATTCAGATACTCGGTTAACAGCGACCGTACTTTATCGTCATCGTTGATGCAGTCGGTGTGTCTGATGCACATAAAGAGGATGTAGGCCGGTAGGCCCGGCAGCAGCGTCACCGCTATTCGGGGCCTTAGCTCTGAAAAGAGACATAAATATAATTTAGTAAATTTCGTAAAATTTAGTAAAATTCGTATATTTCAATCGTACATCTCTGCTTATACATTAGGTAGGTAGAAATAAGAATAAATTAAATTAAATTAAAAAGAATTAATTGACTGTTGTATTTTATAAATTAAATTTTCCTTCTTTCACAAAATAAATTTTTCATATATAAGAATTTAGTATTTAATTTGAGAGTACTTAATTTTTTATATTTAATAATTCAGATATCGCAATTTGAATAAAATTCTCAGAGGTTTCATTAAAGTGAGAAGCAACACTGAAACTTACCAATGACCAGATGGCGTATGATTACATTAATATCCTCTTTTCTGAATTCGAACATTCCTTCATAGTCTCTTTCTTTTTTGCGAATAATAGGCATGTTACTTCCTTCTCTGTGAGTGTCGGAAACGGCGGCGCAACCATTTGCATATTCCACCGCATTAGGCACTGTAAAATTAAAATTTTTATATTCACACATTTTTTGAAGTTTTCGGGAATTTTGAATTAGACTCGACAATATGCACAATATACAATGATGAAATATAATTTGCATAATTTGAAATTCGAACTATTTGCATATAGTCATTAATTTTCATAAGATTTTCAACTTTTAATTAACTATCTTACGAAACAATTTTTATTTTTTTTCACTACAAAATTTCCTGTCTTTTACGTGCATGAATTATTCGGATAGTTCAATGATATGAATGCAATGGCATTTATCAAGACCATGCACTCACCGGCACTTTTCAGCATATAAGGACGTTCCTCTCCTTCGTCTTTGTCAGCATTAGGATAAAGTGATACAACATAATTGTATGTCCCTAAATATTTCTCATGTTAAATATACAATTATTATACTTACAGCCAGCATCCTTGAGTCGCTTCGCCAGGATTCTGCATTGTTTCTTAAAGCGTCTGCATTCCTCCGCCATTTTATCATATTTTTCTTGAAGTTCCTTTAATACACATATTAAATATAAATATATAAATTTTTATATCTTTAAGTAAGAGATTAATGTGAATTTTATTTCGTCAAAAATATATGTAATTTTCAAAAGAGCAACGTAACATAATCAATTAAGCTAATAATTGACTTAATATTATTTGATATTAAAAATTTGTTTGACTCACCAGATTTTCGGATGTCAATCTGGCAACCTCGTACTGCATGTAAAGCTCTGCTTGGGTTTGCGGCGATTTACTTAAATTAATGGAGAGCAACTTCTGCTGCTTTTCGATTTCTTCTTGCAGCCTGTCTATCTCATTTCGCCACTCGTCCCTTTGTGACCGCCAGTTTCTCTCCTTCGCCTGCAGCTCGTCCTCCAGTTGTCTTAAAAACAAATAACCCAAGTTTTTCATTTCTCGAAAATTATCACTAGATCTCTTGAATTGTTCAATCGCAAACGAATTATTCGATGGTATCATGTTAAATATATGAAATCATGCCTGTTATTGATGCCATTACAAAATAATCATTACAATGTTGTTTGAGAAATAATAACATATAGATCGATCTGCGAGAATTTAGTATGATTAATATTAATTTCGCTGATGATCAAAAAAGAAAACAAACTGACTTCAAGACGTTTATGATATCGTAAAATTATAAAGTCTCTTTTCTTCTTGATTGAACAGTTCAACAAAATGAACGTTTAAATGGATGAATCTGCTCGTGAATCTGCTCAACTCACTCTCCTCTCGGTGCCTTTGTCTTAAGTTTACTGAAAACCGAAGTGCATGCACAAAAACGATAAAAGACTGTTGTTAGATCTTTTTGACACTCACAATAGTCAACTCGTCAGCTAAGCGTGTCACTTTGCATTACCTGTTAATTTTCTTCTGCGCCTCGAAGGCAAGTACCAGCTCGCCGTCCTCGTTTATGATGTCCACATCACGACCATAATTAGAACCTAAGCTCTTCATTCTGCGTGTATGATCAGCCAGCACGCTATGCAATTGAATACACTCTTCTCTTCTCCTCTCCAATTCCTCTTGTAGCGCCTCAAATTGTACTATAATAATATCATTATGCTAATATTATCCTGTGTGTTTTTTTTTATATCGTATTATTATTAGTTTTTCAAGTAGTATTGGTAGCTGTATGATTATTTACATAACAGAAAAACAGAAACATAGCATAACATAACAGAAAGCTGTTTATAATTATAAATTTATAATTATACACATTCAAAAACATTTCTTTTTATACATTTATATTTTAAATTTATAATATTGTTTAGATTTTTTTGAAATTTATTGTTTTCATGTGCATGAAAAATTTTATTTAAAGGAAAAGCAGATGAACGCATCGGTAACAGTGATAGATAAATGAAGCGACAATGTTGTAAGCAATATGAGATGTACAATATAATCAAAGATATTAGAGCTGTGATTATACATGTTTAAATTATTATTTATAAATATAAATATAAAGAATAAAGCGATGACGCTCGCAAAATGCAGAAAATAATATAATGCAAAATAATAAATAGGCAGAAACAAATAAAATGTAGCATAGAATAAAAAGCAGAAAGCAGAAGATATTATAGATATGCAATGTGTTTATCTATATCACACTTCGATCTCCCTTTGAGTGTTTAAAAATACAAAATCAATCAACTTAGTTATAGTGTATTAAAGTCGGTATAAATATACAATGCTTCGTAAAAGAGGCCATGCAGAAAACAGCTAGTGAGTTGTAATAGCAAATTACTCATGAGATTTTGCTGCGCGGACGACGGACTGGCTGACGACACGGTTTTCCTCAGTGAGTTCAAGTCCTTTTTAAGTTGCGCGTTCTCCATTTCCAGTTCTTGGAGCTATAAGCAAACCACATTGTCTCTTAATCAGTGATAATAGCGATAAGACAACATCGAGCACAACGACGTGGATTTATCATGATAATCTTTAATGCCGCTTAAATGACGTCGAGTCAAAAGAAAATTGACGGTTGCTAAGATAGCGCTCGACAAGAAGATAGACTTGACAGAAAGTATTCGTTGGAGGTAAAAGTTTAATACAGAAAGAAAGAAAGCTTTTCTGAGACTTTTTAATTTCTGTTACTTACTCTGAACGAATCCTGCGTTCTGATGGACTCCTCATTACTATCGCGTTCCAGATCTTCGACCATTCTGACCAGTCTACCTTTTTCTTTCTCGACATCCTTCAGCTTTTGTTGCAGCTTTAGAACGAGACCAATGTCCACGGGAGCGTGTGAGGGCGCGGGAACCTCCGAAGGCGATTTGCTCGCTTGAACTTCTCCGTCGGGTGGACTGTCCGATCGTTGCTGATTCCAGTCGATCGTTTCCACTCGCGAGTAGAGGGTCGATGAGGAAGCCGTGGATCTCACGGAACCATAACCAAAATCCTGCCAAGAGAGGAAGAGTCCAATAAACTTATTTTAACAATTTTGATAATAAACAAGGAAAAATCAAAATCTTAAAAAAAATTAAAAGCACTTAAAGATGATCATCATATTTAAACATCTAAAAATGAAAGAGGTACAAGAGAAATACAAATGGTATTGTTAAATATCGTCAAATTGATTTTATATTTCTTAATTATATATTAAAATTTTCTTTATATAAACAATTCCTCGTTTCTATTTATTAATACTTGTCAACTGTACTTACGTTCTGATCATCTTGCGGATTCTCCGTCGATGTAATCTGGCCACTGCCGCTGGAAGCATTGCTCAAAGAACGCGAATGTCCAAGTATTCCTTGCGACGCCAATTTTTGTTCCAGAATTTCCGCATGCTGTTCCAACTCGTGATAATCCTTGAGCAATCTTTGATAGGCCCCGCGATCCTGATCCTGTTCCAATCGGAGCAAATCTTTTTCCTGCTCGAGTCGATATTTCAAATTTTCCTCGGCACCGCGCTGGTTGCTCTTCAGCTTCTCAGTCGCTATCGAAAGTTCCTTACGCAATCTCTCGTTCTCCTTCTGCAATTTTTTATTTTCCTCGTCTTTCTGTAAAGCAGCTCTCTCTTTATCGTGCAATATATCCATCTTCTCGTCTTTCTCTCGCTGCAGAATTTCTTCCATCATTTTAAGCTCCCTTTCTTTACTCTGCACCACTCCGTTCAATTTCTTATTCTCAATGTCGACGGATTTCAAACCATCCAGCTTGCACTTCAAGTCTATCATTTCATTTTGTACGTTCTTCAAGTGCTGATTCTCTTTCGCCTGAAATGATATGATGAGTGTTTTTTAACTGGGCACAGAAGGAATAGTTTCGCTGACATATTTAAAAATTTAGTTTAAATTTATTACTAAAATATAAAAAATTAAATTATATAATACAAACAATTTTAGCGGTATTATTTTCATGTTTAAGCAACATAATTCTTTTAATGGCTTAACAAAATTATTATCAAACCTATATCTGACCAAATTTTTAAATACTTTAGCAAAATTATTTTTTTCGTGCAACAAAAAATATTAAAGTCGAAAAAATATTAAAATAAATAATAAAGTATACAATAATAAGTAATGTAGTATATGTAATTTAAATTTACACATGTAGAATATATCGAGGTACATCATTTACCAATTCGTTTATCTTTTGCTGCAACGTAATGATCTTCATCTCCAGCCCTTTGTTGAGCGACTTGACGTGCTCCACGCTTCTGGCCTCGGCCTTCAACCGCCTGAAGACCTTCTTCGCTTGTCGCTTTCTGATGCACGATTGCACGATGATTATATCTCTGAGTTTCTTCTTGCACGCCATTCTCACAAGATATCCACGAGCGAATCTCTGGATCACCGTCGCGGCGGCGTTGTCCTTCATTATTCTGTACCTAACGCGAGCCATGTTGCCCCTGCCGCGCGTCTGCAAACCGAGAATCGTGCGTTTCATCTGCAGGTACCACCGTCTTTGCAGCCAGCCCTTCACTCGCGCCTGGATCTTTACCGCTGCCCTTTCCCTTCTAATAGCCTCCGCCTTCTGCCGAGCAATGTAACCCCTGCCATACCTCTGAAGGCCGAGGATCGACCTGCGAATCTTCTTGTACCTGTTATAGTGTATCAAACCACGCGCGGTCTTCTGGATCATGACGCAGGCATCACGTTGCCTCTCAGCCCGTAGCTTCTCCAGATACGCCACCTGGCCGGCCCTGAAGAGCACCTTCGTCTTGCCGAACTTGAACTTGTCCTCGTCGTTGATGTACCTGGCGAGGATGCGCCGGCAGGTCTCCTTCAGATCATCCCGCCGTATCTCCTTGAACCTGCAGAGGCAGCGGTACCTCTGGAAGAAGTCGCCGTACGTACGCTGGCTCGGGAAGCCCGCGGCGGAGATCCTGATGGTCTCCAGGACGCCGCAGGCGCGTAGCTGCTGCACCGCTCGCACCGGACTGTACTCGAAGGCTTCCTTCGCGTCGTTCGGCTTGATGCAGCGCACGTAGTGCGGCGTGGTGGCGTTCAGCGTGGCCATCAGCATGTTGAGGGAGTCGCGGAACTGCGAGCCGACTGTCTTCTTGTTCTGCTTGTTGCTCGTGTTCATCGGCGCGCTCTTCTGGGCGGACACCTTCACCCTCGCGTGCGGCACCGCCAGCTTGGGATCCTCCTCGCGGAACAACTTTCTCAGCAGCTTATTCTCGCCACTTCTCAGCACGTCTATCTGCTCCTCGATCACGGTGTCGCGATTCTTCTCCAGGAAACCCACGGTCTCGTACTGCACGAGATCGGCGAAGTGGTGGATCAGGAAGGCCGACGTGCCGAATCGCGGCTTTTCAAAGTGCTTAGACTTTATGCACTTGGCATAGAGTTTCTCCGCCCAGGAAGCGTCCGAACCCTTCGGCATGCGGCACTCTTCGTCGAGGAGATCCAGAATGCCGAGTCTGGTCTCGATCAGGTCGATGCACGGTTGATTGTCATAGAAATCGATGAAGGTCCACTCGATGTCCTCCTTCAGATATTCCTCTTGCTCCAGTTTGAAGACGTGCTGATTGAATTGCTGCTGGAGCTTCTCGTTCGCGTAGTTGATACAGAACTGCTCGAATGAGTTTATATCAAACGTCTCGAAGCCGTAGATGTCTAGTACGCCGATAAAGCGATACACTGGACCGGGTGACTGCAGCGAGCTGTTGATACCCGTCACGATCCAATTAAACAGCTCGGCGTAGATGTGCTTAGCCAGTGCATCTCGCGCGCCGATTGCCTGATCCACGGTCATAGGCTTCAGGAAGACCTCTCGCGTCGAGACGATCTTTCGATGGCACAGCCACTTGCGCATCCCGTTCACGTCGACACCCAGCAGCTCGGAAAGGATGAGTAGATGCCGGTCCGACGACGAGATGTGACAGGACTCGGTGTCCACCTCGCCATCCTTTGCGTCCTTGATCACGCGGCTGCTTATATCTACGTTACCTAGGTGTAATATGGCCGCCAGTATGCGCAGCATGTCGTCCTGCTGCTTGGACGTGAAGCCGAGCATCGTCAGCGCACTGATCGTTTCGTCGAAGTACGCGAGATCATCCACGCCGTCGATCCTGGGGTTGTTGCCCTGATTGAGATAGTGGAACTGATTCTGGTCGGACAGGTGCAAATGGGGAAGACGCCTCGCCGCCGAGCACATCTGATAGAAGATATGATAGTTTCGTTCCTCGTTCGCCTGAAATACCACCCGTGACTTTTCCAACAGGTAGGTCCTCATGCTCGCACCGGTGATATGATAATTCTTGTTGAACTGGATCTCGATGAACTTGCCGAATCTGGAGGAATTGTCGTTCCTGGTAGTCTTCGCGTTTCCGATCGCCTCCATGATGGGCGAAGAGGCGAGAACCTTCTTTTCGACCTGCGTCTCCGTCGCCGATCCGCCAACGGTCGCGAAATACCGCATGGTATACTTCGCGGAGACGGTTTTGCCGGCGCCCGATTCGCCGGAGACAATAATCGACTGATCATGGTTCTCCCTAAATTAGAAATGGGAACACAATTATTCTTTTATTCAGATTAATTAAGATGTAATTAAATTTAAGCTATTATATTAATTATTTACATTAAAATATAATACAATACAAGATACGTTGCTTAAATGCAATTTAAATATTCTATTAAAATTAATTTTTAATTAAATGTACATATATATATATATATATATATATATATATATATATATATATATATATTATTGTTTTTTTTCTTGGTTCCAAATTTATAATTTTAGAATTTTTTCGAGTTTTCATCCAACGGAAAGATCATCTTTGCTTTTTAATTAACATCGATATATTATTTGTATATCGATGACACAATCTATAGATAAATATTGGCAGGAGGATTAGTCACCTCTCCAATTTCGTATAGGCCTCCTCGGCCACGGCGAATATGTGGGGTTCCAGGTCGCCCATCGCCTGTCCCCTGTAGGCCCATATCGTGTCATTGCCGTAGATGGGTAATTCGTTGTACGGGTTGAAGGCTACCAGGACAATGCCACAGTAGGTGTAAATGGAATGCCGTTGAAAGCGGACCTGGAGATTGTAGAGGACGGCGGGCTCGTGAAGAAACGACAGCGACGTGAGATTGTTTTCTCCTATCAGGATATCGGGGTTTCGAAGCGGCGGAAGATCGGCGTCCGATCTGATTTCCAATGTCCTCGTCTGATTCGACTCCTCTGTGTGCACCTTCAACGTCCGCTGATTCTGCTTGTAGTTCTCCAGGAGCACGGCGCCCTCCCATACCTTCTCCGGATGCGGCACCCATACTCGGCCATCCTATGATCGATTTGCACGTCAGTCGATTTTTACGTTAGTAAACTTTTGTCAGTTTTATTACGTAGTTCGTAATATAAAATCGCGGCGCATCCCCGGCGTCCGTTAATATTTAGAGTGTATAAAATTATTAAAAAGTCGATAAACGTGAGATTATCGAAGCTGAGTATATCTTTGTTAAAAGACGATGGCTTTATTAGTTTTATTTTAGATTTTATTGAAAATCGAAGGATCAGGTTTGTATTATTTATTTGAAACGAGATCGAATGTAGTTCATTGAATGCACTCGCTTATACCGCATCGTTACGACGCGACGGTTAATTGGTCATCGAGCGACTTTTTGAGCAAAGACGACCCGCTTTTTCCTTTTGGAGTGGCGCATAAACACTGCACTGAGGTCGCGAATAAGAGTGTATCGATTTAGTCGACGAATGCTCCAATTCGCCGTTATTTCTTGCGTTCAATGTTATCATATATCATTCTTGTACGATAGAAGACACCGTTTGATCACAGAAATTACCGTTCCGTTCAATCTTAGTGTTTAACGTAATTATTAATCGCGCATGTGATCAATAAGAAAATGACATACATATAAACTCAATAATTTTTTTTGTGCATTGCGAATATAAAATTGATCTACATAACAAATTGTGTAGGATATACTCTTTCTGTATTACTTACTGTATTTAAAAAAATGCTGAAATCTGAATTTATTGTATATTAGCTATAATACAATACACAAATATATA